GAGAGCGGCCTCTCGGGCATCCAGAGCCTCAACTCGACGCACATGTGGTTCGGCCGCGCGTTCCCCGTGCCCGACGCCTGGCGCGGCGCCCGCGTCCTGCTCAACTTTGAGGCCGTCGACTACGAGGCCACCGTCTTTGTCAACGGCGCCCGCGCCGGCCACAACGTCGGCGGGTATTTCCGCTTCACCGTCGACGTCACCGAGCACGTGCGCTGGGGAGCGGACAATGAGCTGTGAGTTTGAGCCTGGACTTTTTAACGAACCCGCCCCCTGACGCTCCCGGTGCAGCTTCGTCTTTGTGCACGACCCCACCGACGCCGAGGTCATCCCCGTCGGCAAGCAGACGCGCAACCCGAGCCACATCTTTTACCGCTCGTGCTCGGGCATCTGGCAGACGGTGTGGCTGGAGCGCGCGCCGGCCAACCACATTACGCAGCTCGACGTGGCGGCCGGCATGGACGGAGAAGGTATGTCGCGTGTTTCCCTTTAGTAAGGGGCAGTGTTGCTGACCCCCGGCAGTCAAGGTGACGGCGCACACGTCGGGCAAGCAGCAGGGCGCCGAGGTGACCATCGCCGTGGTGGACGGCGAGGGCCGCACGGTGGGGCAGGCATCGGGCCCGTCGGACGCCGAGTTCGCCTTCCGCGTGGCGTCGCCGCGGCTGTGGTCGCCGGCCTCGCCCACGCTGTACAACCTGACGCTGACGCTGGGCGACGACCGCGTGCACAGCTACACGGGGTTCCGCACCGTCTCGGCCGGCCTCGTCGACGGCGTGCAGCGGCCCCTGCTCAACGGCGAGTTTGTCTTCCTCTTTGGCACCCTGGACCAGGGCTTCTGGCCCGACGGGCTGTACACGCCGCCCAGCCGCGAGGCCATGGTGTACGACCTGCGCATGCTCAAGCGCCTGGGCTTCAACATGGTGCGCAAGCACGTATGTTTCTTTCTTCTTTCTGTCAATTTGTCTGATGACCGCGCTGACGCCGCCCCCAGATTAAAGTCGAGCCGGACCTGTTCTACCGCGCCTGCGACGAGATGGGCCTCCTCGTCATCCAGGACATGCCCTCGCTGCCGGCCGACGGCAACCGCCCGCCCAACCCGGCGCAGCAGGCCGAGTTCCAGCGCCAGCTCGAGGTGCTTGTCCAAGAGCACAAGAGCTACCCCTCGCTCGTGGTCTGGGTCATTTACAACGAGGGCTGGGGCCAGCTCCGCGGCCCGCCGTACCCGGAGGAGCGGCTGACGGACGTGGTGCGCCGCCTCGACCCGTCGCGCCTGGTGGACGCCGTCACGGGCTGGCACGACCACGGCTTTGGCGACTTTTCCGTACGTCTTGATGTGAACTTCACGGATGTCATTGACCATTAGTTGCTGACTTTAACCCCGTGCCCGCAGGACAACCACCACTACGCCAACCCCCAGTGCGGCACGCCCTTTTACTCGATTCTCTCGTCGCCCTATGACCCCCGCCGCATCGGGTTCCAAGGCGAGTTTGGCGGCATCGGGCACAACGTCTCGATTGAGCAGTGAGTTGTGTTGGGACCCTGCGTGCACACTTACTGGATTGAATATTGACTGACTGACTTGACTCGCAGCCTGTGGAACGTCCAGCAGGCCATTGACACTATTAACCAGACGTACGAGGTGAGCGCCGACCTCGACGCGTACAATTACCGCGCGGGGGTGCTCTTCCGCGAGCTGATCGAGCAGGTGGAACGGTATGCGTGCAGCGGGGGCGTGTGGACGCAGACGACGGACGTGGAGGGCGAGGTGAATGGCTTGTATACGTATGATCGGCGCGTGCTGAGGGCCAATGTGAGTCAGTGGCAGGCGGATATTAGGGGGTTGTATGACGCGGCGCATGGCCGGGGAGGGGCGAGGCCGTAGATGTTGCTTTGAATCGAGATTGATCATTGGGATTGACGGACATGGATGGATATTGGTGGATGGACTGCGTTGAAATTGATGGACGACATTGGACCTTTGCATCACTATCACTGATGTGCTGTTGGTGCACGGATACAGAATTATATAGTATGATTATGAACATGATTTGCGCTGCAGTAGTTTTTTGTTTTATTCTTATTGTGGCTGTAGATTCGTGTAGGAATAAATACTACTCTACTCTGCCATGGCATGCGTGCTCCAATATTGTCGCATACATTGTTTACCTTTTATCTCTTACTGTCTGTTTAATATTTAATACTTAATATTGTTATATGCCTTATTTCCCTTACTGTCTCTTACTGCATGTTTAATGTTTAATGTTATTGCGTGCCTCATCTCTTTAGTTGTCCAATAGCTTCTGGAGACTCGCTTCCCTAGAAAAATTGTCTGGTAGAAGAGGCCCCACGAGCTATTGGGCACCTAAAGAGATTTACCTGGCTGTCGCTTATTATTTATTTAACGTTTACTATTATTATACCATTGATGCCTTATTTACCTTGCTGTTTTTTACTGTTTGTTTACTATTGAATATCATTATATGCCTTATTTACCTTGGGGGGTTAGCGACACATACTAGTCGCGTCGCTGCTTTTGATCCCGCGCGTCCAGAAGCGACAACACCGCCGCACATACTTAGGGTAGGCGAGAATAGACGTAGTGCAAGCGAACCGGTTTGGTGAAGAGTGTTTGGTGGGTGGGTGGTAAGGGATATGCAGAGTCACTCGAGGAGATACTGGTACCACTGTGAACTGCAGCTGCGCTATTTTTGGTGATCAATTGATGCGATGCATCCATTAGCCCAAAAAAAAAGAAACGAAAAGAGGGGAAACACCAGACGGGAGGAGGCTAGTCGTTTGCAGTTTTGTTCTTTACTAAATCATATTGGTGTCATCGAATCCGACTTTTAAATTGATGGCATTTTGTTTACGTCTGCTACTATGCCTCTTTGTCAACTTTGCTGCCAACTTGACTTTGCTACCATTGCGCAAAGAGGTCTGAAGGCACATCTCCGGTTAGAAACGGGCCGGGCCTGGTCATACTACACTCCTCGAGACGATGCACTGCAGGAACCCAATACTATTCTCCATCCGTTCCACAAGTCTCTTAGGGCTTTACAAGACAGTGCAACATCATGCGACCTATGTCGTCTCATTCAAAACAATGCTGACAAGATTCTCCGGGCTTCAAATGATGGCAACGACCCTGATACGTATGAACTCTGGATTGGGGGCAGAGATGGCGCTCACGGTTTCCAAGTCGTCGGTGCCAAAAGGGCAGCGCGAAGCGGACGTCTCATTTATGACATAATGGCCGGCATTGGGTTTTGCGCGGAAGAAAGTTTGTCTACAGAACCTATTCTCTCGTCTGCTGTCGGCACTTACTCATGCCAGTCAAAGAGAGCCAGCTTAGCTCCCTCATCCAGGGACGGAGAATCCAGGCATCGCCGCGATCGCCAATCGTTCTTGACAAGATGGCAAGGTGGGTGAAGCAATGCGCGGAGCAGCATGGACATTCCGGGTCGATATCAACAAGGTTACCCGCAAGATTGTTAGACCTACATGTCCTTGAGCAGCATGCTGTTCTTTGTGCTTCGAATGATGCGACAGGCCGGTATGCTGCGCTCAGTCACTGTTGGGGCTCTGCGCAGACAGTGACGCTAAACACCAGCACGTTTGAAACGCTATGCCGGGGAATCAGGGTGGGCCATCTTCCGCAGACATTGAAAGACGCAGTCTGGATAACTGGTCAGTTGGGAATACGATACCTTTGGATCGATAGTTTGTGCATCTTGCAGGATGACACCAGCGACTGGATACGGGAATCTCAACGAATGGGAGACATTTACAGCAACTCGTTCGTTACGATTGCCGCCTGCCGCGCTGCCGATGGCCAAGCAGGTTTTCTGGACGAGCGACCAGCGCAATCGCATGTCCCGGTTCCCATGTACGCCGCAGGAAGGTCCGGCACCGCGCTGGCTTTTGCTGTTCCGCACAAGTATGTAGCGGAGCCGACCAGAGTTATTCACATGGAAGATGAGCCCTTGACAAGCCGGGGCTGGGCTTTGCAAGAGCGCTATCTATCCCCCCGCACGTTGCATTTTACCAAGTCCATCATCTTTTTCGAGTGCGGTCAGGGTATCCAAACGGAAGACAATTGTCTGCTGGCTCAGTCCGCCCCCCATCCATCATTTGCCTTGTTGGATTATTCCACGGACATGGCCAAAAACAGATGCCGGCAGGATTGGCGTAAGATGGTGGAACAATATTCCCAGCGAAAACTCACGGTTCAAGACGACAAGTTGCCGGCCCTGGGAGGTCTAGCGGCTCGATTTTCATTGGCCTCGACTCAAAAAGATGAGAGAATTTTTCCAGTGGCCAGTCGATATTTAGCTGGTCTCTGGTTTGACGACATGGTTCGAGACATGTGTTGGTCGATGCAAATGTTCAGCCCTCGAGGTGTACGCCCACGCAAGTACCGAGCCCCGACATGGTCTTGGGCCTCTGTAGACGGGAGTATTGATTACAAGACCTCTTGGGTCAACTCGATTAGTGAGCTTGCCGTCGTTCAAGATGCCCATGTGGAGCTTGCAACTCTAGGGAACGCTTTCGGCAAGGTAGTGGATGGCTGGGTTTGCTTGAAGGTTCTTTCCCTTCGGCCATACAAGAAGGCAAATAATAAAAGCCTCTGGGTGCGTGAGGACGGTGTGGTTTTCCGCATTGCCGTCACATGGGATGCTGAACCGTACGACCCGCCTGGCCAGAGCGGACCAACAGACTCAGAGATCAACACAATAGACATGGACCTTTTTGTGGTGCCTTTAGGCTGGGTAGACCGCCATCTTGACGACGGCCCTGATGCTTTACTGGGGCCACTTTTCTTAGTGCTGAAGGTGGCCAACCATTGTATGCACTCGTTTGCTGCATCAGCAGTCTTCCAGAGGGTTGGGTTTGGGATAGGAGTCTGGGTGGAAGATGAAAATGGAGGCACTGATAAACTGGGCCTGCGGCGGTTGATTGTCGATAGATTTGCTGCGGCGAAGAAGCGAGGTGATCTCCAGAGTATCATAATTATATGAAAACACCATCATCAGCACACATGACGACCGCGAGCTTTTCCAAGTCGGAATACTGCTACCGTCCTTCAACATTTGGGGCTGACCTGATGATAGCAAAAGTTGTGCTCACGGCCAAGTTGGGAGGCAAGTGCCACGACGTCATGCTTGGTTATGTGTAGCTAAAATTCGGAAAGTTGGTCATCAATACGAAGATGAAGGCTATATGTAGACATGGACTCCGTCTAATTAGAGTGTTGACACCCCAGTGCGATTCAAACGAGGCATTCAGGGACCTGCAAAATGTAACGGGCACAATGCACGATGATGGAGATAATAGCTAGGTAGAAGCAATACGGGCGTTGTATTCAAAGACTAAAGCTTGCCCTCGCACTTGACGTCAATTGTGCGAGGCGCTGGCTGTATGCAGGCGAGGTACCCTCTAGACGTGACCTGTATGACCGGCACTCCTGTGCAGGGCCATGTCATGATGCGCCTTACACAAAAGACTAAGACTCTGAAGCCTTGAGTCTGCAGAGGAATGACACACTGGCTATACCCGCTAAAGCGGCGTCAATTGTCGCCGTGTTTGGTGGATAAAACCAGTCGTACCAGACATGTCAATAATACTTGGCTTTATTGTATAATATCAGTGTCGCGGCCTTCCCCGCTGGGTTAGGCGGCACCCATAACACCAGACGCCTGTCCGCCACATCAATTGATGGCTGCTTTTGACCCATCAATGTCACCTACAAACAGCACTCCACCATTGGCTTGCCTCTCTTTATCCTCCCGTGCCTCATTCTAACCAGACTCTTTCCTTGACCCTCTCCTCCCTGCCGAGTATGTCTTTTACCGCAATATTTCTGTCTATACAGGTAATAATAGCAAATTGATAGTATATTACGAGACCCCTTAATTCTCGTACAGACTATTCTATATTCCCTTGACGCTCGTTCTAAGTTTGCAAACCATTTTCTATAAAGGCCAAGTTTAGTATTTACCATTAAAGGCTTATACAAGGATAACATGCATCTTGATATTTGTCTTATTCCAGTATATTACAACGTACAGATGGTAAAAGCTTATATGGCAGTTATACGACTTACATCTCCAGCTTATCCCCTGGGCTAAGAGTTAAACGTGTGGACTAATAAAAGGGAGTCACTCATGGCATATATCGAGACAAATAGCACTATAATCTACATCCCTATTTCGAGACCCTTGTTGTCCTTTCCAGTCCCATCTAGGGGAACAAGATGACTTCACCTCTAGGAGTCGATATTGAACTGGGTTGTGTTGATCCTGAGGTGTCTTTACACGAACGTCACATTTGGCCTTTGTGGCTCCAGGCATGGTTTACCCGCACCGCGCTGCCAGATTCGAGTAGGGGTACGGTATCGAGGCAGAGTGAGACATCAAATGACAGCCCGCCCTGGAGAATTCGATTCAATGGCGCTGACTGGCCATAGTCGAGGCCTTCCCACCAGGGTACCCCCGATTCTCGGCACTTTTGGCGTCTCATCCGTCATTCCTTGTCTGTCAGCGATTTTCCACCCTACGCACGCGTCTGTTGTTGCTCAAACAGGCCAGACTCGCGATCCTCGAGAAGGAGCTGGACAAGATCGACCGAGAAGAGTCGTTCCCGCTATCACTTGGAAGCAGTCGGAGGGACGCCAACCAGGAGAGGCATGCCGTCATTTCAGAAATAGACGGCGCCTTGGCCGACTATGGTGATTGTCTCACTCGCCCGCACTGTCTGGTGCTCTCTTGAGTCTCGAGCGCTGATCAAATGGCGGCAGATTCCTTCCTCGAGAGGCAGCAGCGCGCAATGACCTTTGAAGCTGCGCCGCACCGAGCCGTCACGAACCTGCGGAACTGGGTCCATGGAAACGGTTGCGTGGCACGAGCAGAGACGGCCTACTTGGAACAAGGCGAGGATCTTCTCAGCGTTACTACCCAAGAAGACAACGAGACATCCTGGTTGGAGGCGCTTGTGGAACACGCCTGTGTGAAATTCGGGGTACATTTTCAAACACCGGAGAGTCGGCGGCCTTCTCGAGACCCAAACGTGCATGTTTTCTCACCATCATCGATAGGACGAGTGGTGCGAATTCGTCTTGCACCATTCATCGCCATTCTCCTCCTCGCCCCGGTCGTCGTTTGCCATCTTGTCGGCAGCCTGACAGCCAGATTGATCATTGTCATTTTCGCTACGAGTGGTTTTATAGCCATTTTATCCAGCTTTAGCAAGGCGAGGGCAATCGAGAGCGCATCGCCACTTCCATACACGCCCCCGCGATGCTGTGCGTGGAGGGCAATTTCTGGTGGAATCAACGATGGAAACGACGTGGGCTTGGAGGTGACGAATACCTTGATCACGTCCTCGCAATGCCACCCGCCTAGGCGCTGAAGCCAGTCGGGAACCTTCATTTCCATCCTGAGCTCCTCCTCTCCTCTTGGTTGCATGACCCGGAAGGCGTTGTCGCCCGCACTCGACAAAAGATTAGAAATCTTCCAGGACGCGGCCAAGTTAAAAATGGCCATGTACAAGGGTGACTCGCTGTGGTTCTCGAGAGCGAGGCGCCATATGCCGCCGTGTTCGATATCGTGAACTGCCGAAGTGTCGGGCGCCTTGCCGTCTGCAGAGGAGAGGAGCGAGAATGAAGCTTCAAGAGAGGAGTTCGGGAGCCGGTTCTCGATACCCTCGGCGTACTTGAACTCGGCGAGGTGTTGTAACGTAGCCAAGTCATGGTGCTCTGCGTCCGGGGTGTCGATGGGCACCGTAGGCAGGCTGCGAATTCTCGGCAGCGTGCCGTCGAGCATTTCGTACTCCTGGCGGTCGTTGACTGCAAGGTTAAACATGCATGCCTCCTGCTCATCCTTTATGCATAGGCGTAGCCATCGTTGTCCATCCGAGCCCCTAGTCTGTTGGATATGGTTGAGGAGCTTGTGGGCGCTGGCAGCGAGCCGCACCGATACCTTTTGACGTGAGGGGGCAGTCAATGGCTTTGCTATCCAACAGTCGGCATGGCCCTGTTTGGTTCTCTCCTGTCCAGTTGTGACCACCTCCGACGTAAGCGGGCCAACATTCTCGACTCGAACCGTTGCCAAGATATCAATATCCGACTGGTTGGTGGCATCCTGTTACACGGATGACATGTTGCCATGAAGGCACGGGCCGAACCTTGAACCCAACGATAGTTACACAAGGGCTCTGATCACGAGACCTAGGGCAAGGTGCCTCACCGCCTCTTGATATAAATAAAGGTCTTCCGCCCCTAGGGCCTCAAGGAAAACCAAGGACCTTTGATATCAAAGCAAAGAATTAGCCTGAATATGAAGATTGTTCCAAGCCCCTAAATACTAGGCCCTTGTCACACATCCTCTGAGAGTCTGAGCCGAGCGGGTATACGGCATACTCGTCGTTCGGGTGAACGCCATGTGCTAGTCCCGCATCCAAGCACAGGCGTTGATCCTCGGCTCTGTAGTAGATGTGAAAGTAGGCCATGTCCGATCGGGCGCCGAGGTGACCAAAGAAGGACATGTCCTTGTTACCGTAGCGCATTGGCGTTTGCTGCGGCCAGGACGCGCGAAACCTCACTCGTGCCTGACGGGATCCCGGCGTCGACGTCCGAGTGGTCAGACGGCGAGAGGTCGGGTTGGCCTGTGAGAGCCGCAATGTCGGTCTGTAAGTACTGCTTCATCGCCCAAACATGGTGAAGGCAACCCTCGAGGTCTTCCGCACCGCCGTAAAAGTTGATTCCAACTAGTACTGCCCAGTACTTCGCAAGCGGATGAGCAGGAGCCATGTCGGGCTTGCATCCGATCTATTCGGGCTAGGCCTACACTACAGAGAAACCTCAACCTGGCGACTGGTAGTGTCTGGTACATGCTTGCACATAAGGTGAAGGCGGGGGTCATTGATTGAACAGAAGAGGTCAGATACATCAGGCAGGTTAGATTAGGCTGCAAGGTGACAGTGACGTGTATTGCTGATCAACGCCCGATCGGTCCAGCGGCGCAGCCAAAACTGAGCAGATGGTGTGCAAGGCAAAATCGCGACTTGATTACTGAAGGCATTCGAAAGGGGGTTCTTGCTGCCCGACGCAGCGCATCAACGTGTGTTGGTTGGGTTGACATGATAATTAGGCATCCGAAATACATATGTAGTTAACCCGTGTCAGGACAGTCACCTGGGTGGGTGTAAGCCGTCAATATGACTGCATGTCGCCTCACAAAAACCATTTGATAAATTCAGTCGAAACAAGTCGCCAATGCCGATCCAGCAATGACACCGGCTCACCTGCGTGTCTATAACACCCGATTACATTGCTTCTAGGTACTCACTCAGCCTGCCATAGAACCCGCCCAGAAATTGACTACATTCTCGCCCACCTTGTTACACGGATGTCACGTTGCCACAAAGGCACGGGCCGGACCTTGAACATGACGATAGTTACACAAGGGCTTGCGACCTAACGGGGGCCTCAGGCACCTAGGACAGCCCTCTGACCGCCTCTTGATATAAATAAGCGTCATCCGCCCTTGGAGGCCTTGAGAGAAACCATGGACCTTTGATATCAAAGCGAATTATTAGTTGAATATCGAACATTGTTCCAAGCCCAATATTACTTGCCCTTGTCACACACCTCAACGGCAGAGCTGAGACGGCAATTGCTAGTGTTATTGCCAAATGTTGGTCTTCGCTGTTGGATTTGAGCCATTCGCCACCGGCGCGTGAAGAGAGCTCGTCATGGCGACCCCCCATGCTATCATGTGCGAGAGTTTCTTCAACCTCGACAAAGAGATCATCGTCTATTTGAATGGCTGCCATGACTCGGATCTACTTTCTATGGAGAAGCTACATGAGAAGCTCGAAATCTTTGAGGGAATGCGATTGCATATAATCACCTGTCTTCTTCTCTACCTGCGAACGGGAGCAACTGTACACGCGGAGAAAGCTCTTCACCGGGCAAGACGTTTGAATACCATGGCTGGACCGGGAGACAAGGATGAAGCAGGCAAAATTCTGGAAACAGCCGTCATAATGAAGGACAACGGCAGAAACTTGGTGCAAAGTCTTACCTTGAACGAAATCAGGAGACAACTCAAAACTCGTCTTGAAGAGAGTGGACTGCTCACCGCGCCCGCGCCTGGAGTGTATGCGGTGTGCCAATGCTTCCAGCCGACGCCTCAAGATGACTCTACATGGGTTCCATCGTTGCTTGGCTTGGCTGGAGTATTCAAGAAGCGCTTTGAACAGTCTACACCGAGAGACATACGAGACCTGAACCTGGCAATAAACTTGGCCCTCGTAGGATTGCGGGCAACACCTGAAAACGACGGCCTCTACCGATCGAAGCGGCTCCAATCACTATCAGAGCTGCTTTTCGCACGTTTTCGACACACCAGGTCGATGGACGACTTGGATCGCACCATTCAACTCCGAGAGCAGGCGTTGGTCCTTACATCCTCAACCGACACGGACTGGGTTGTCCAAGCACACAACCTCGGGAACTGCTATGGCGAGCGCTTCGACATGAACGGACATATTGACGACTTGAATCGAAGCATTATGCTTCTTGAGGCGGCGGCTCGGCGTCAAGATATGCAGCTTGAAGGCGACACTCTATGCAGCCTGGCCTTTAGACTAGTGGGACGATCTGACCGGACGGGGTCTATGGACGATTTGAACAGTGCGGTCGCTGCTGGCGAGAGATCAACGAATCTGAGTGTGCAAGGTCATGACCGGACCGAGCGAATAACATGTCTCGCAGCTTGTCTATCCAGGCGGTTCGAACGAGCAGGATCGATGAAAGACCTCGACCGTGCCGTGCAACTCTTGCGCAACGCGGTCAGCCTGATGCCTACGGACTACCCACATCGTGGCCAGACACTCAATAACCTTGGGGCAACGCTAGGCCTCAAGCATGGAATGACAAAATCAGCGGCAGATCTGGACGACGCCATCGAAGCCACCGGTAAAGCACTAGAAGCTCTTCCATCAGATCATCCCCTTCGAGTTCTAGCCTTGAGTAACCTGTCTGTCTTTTTGAGGAGAAGGGCTTGCGAAGCGACCTGTAACGTGCAATCGAGGTGTCCGGTGAGGCAATAGACAGACTCCCTGTTGACCACGTGGAGCGGCCCGCAATGCTCAACAATCGGGCAGTATTCCTCTTGAAGCGGATGAAACTCGACAAACTCGACTTGTGACCAGGCACTCGCATTGGATCATCTCCAACAGGGCCTGGATTGTCCAAACACTCGTCCTACAACTCAGGCTACTCTGGCTCTAAGGTGTAGTGAAATCTTCATATCACGCTTGGACTAGCAGAGAGCGGCCTTCTATGCTACGTACAGCCGTGGAGCTTCTTCCTCTTCTTAGCCCCAAGTCTTTACAGCATCTAGACAAGCAACACGAGCTCAAGCACTTCCAGGGCCTCTCGTCAAGGGCCGCTTCAGCCGCCCTCAATGCCAATCTCGGTCCAGTTCACGCGCTGCAGCTTCTTGAATCTGGGCGTGACATAATTTCGACCATGACGATGGAGGTTCGGACCGACGTCTCGCTTCTTGAACAACAGCACCCAGACCTCGCGAAAGAATTCTGCCGTCTGCGGGACGTGTTTGACACACCAGACGGCATGGCTGGAGTTTCTGGCACTTGGAGCAACAGAAACCAGGGAAACCTCGGATCAGCAAGTCGTATGAAGGCAGATCGAGGTCTTCAGGACGTTCTTCGCAAGATACGTCTTTGCCAAGGGTTCGAACGCTTCCCTCTGCCGCCGACTGAGGACGAAATCAAGGCTGCCGCAAATCCCGATCCCATAGTTGTGATAAATGCCACCGCACATCGCTCCGACGCGATCCTCATCACAAAAAATCACATCCGTTTGCTGGAGCTGCCAGACCTGAAAGCTATAGAGATTCTTACCCTATTCTTAGAAACTCGACAACCTGGTATGCACTCATCCTCTTCTACCTCGAAACTGTTGGGGCTGCTCTGGGATACGCTCTGTGAACCAGTTCTAGATACCCGAGAGTACCGCTCTCCAGTTACAAATGACAACTGGCCGTGTGTATAGTGGATTCCCGTCCACGGTTTGAGTGTACTTCCTTTGCACGCTGCGGGACATCACGGGTCAAAAGGCCGAAGGTCTGTTCTCCACAGAGTCATGTCCTCGTACGCGACTTCCGTCAAGCAGCTGATACGCGGACTCGGATCCCAGAACCGGCAATCTGCTGGTCCTCCGTCGAACAAGGCTCTCGTGATCGGCATGAGTGACACCCCGGGCTTCGGCCAAAGCGGAAGCCTCCCCTTTGCTGCGACTGAGGTTGCCATGGTGGAGAGGGTCTGCTCGCCGTTGAAAATGCACCAGTTGACCTTTCCAGGCCAGAGCTTCGCAGAGCCAGCGTGCTAGACGAGCTACGGTCGTGCCGGATTTTTCATTTTGCCGGCCATGGAACGACGCATGAATCGGAGCCGTCGGAATGCGGTTTGCTTCTTGAAGATTGGCAGAGCAGTCTGTTGACTGTGGCGGACGTTCGAGACCTCAACCTGGAGATAGATCCGCCTTTTCTATGCTACTTGTCAGCATGTTCAACTGGTGCCAACTTGGCCAGCTCCAAATTGCCCGACGAAGCTATCAATCTTGTCAGCGCCTTTCAGCTTGCAGGATTCAGACACGTAGTGGGAACCTTGTGGGAGGTGAGGGACAAGTCTTCTAATGATGCCGCTAGGGTATTGTATGAAACAGTACGTAAGGAGGGGCTGACCGACTCGGCCATCTTAGACTATTAGGTAAGTAGTCTAGGTATTTATATAGTAAAACTTCCTTATATTAGTATTAATAAGCTTATATTATAACACAAATAAAAGTATTATTTATAGCCAAGTATTAAAAGAAAACCCCGTTTAAAAGCAGCTCTAGTTAGTATATGTATATAATTATTATAGTATATTATAAGCTTAATTATATATCTTAAAGTATTATTAGAATATTAAACTTAACCTCTAGTTAAAATATATTATCAAGGCTATAATATTAAATTAAACCACTATAATTATAGCTAGTAAGGAAACCCGAATCTGCCAGAGACGGAAGAGGAGGAACTTCTATAAGATAGAAGGACAAGGGGCCTGGGGCTATCTTTGGACAATGTTGCAGAGGGGATTAGCAACGGCGTCTAGTTAATGCCATGAAAAGCAAGGTCGTTCAGCCACAGTCCTTGGAGCCGCAGCCTGTGGGATTCAACATTGAATGTCAAGTTCGTTTGCACGCTGGCCTCTTGGGGAGGGCGTCAAGTGTCACCATGCCGCCCAACGCGGCGTCAAATATCAGCGATTTTAGTGGGCGAAACCGTGACACTAGGCCTTTAGGCATTATCTCTTATTATTTATTTAATATTTAATATTATTGCATGCCTTATTTGCCTTTTATCTCTTACTATCTGTTTAATATTTATTATCATCGTATGCCTTATTTACCTTTTATCTCTTACTGTCTGTTCAACATTGAATGTTCAATGTCGTCTCTGGTCCAGGTCGTATAAATAGTTGACCGTCTGGTGCATTGATAAACCCCGCACGATACGTTGCCTTTGACCACAATGCCTCACAAGTCACGAATATACATAACTGTCGTCGGGAATGCCTTTTATTTTTATCTCATCGTGGTCTGCTAGACGCCGAATTCACATCCTCGCCATCAAAGCCTACCACGTACGTCCCAAGACTAATATATATGTAATAAATACCATGACTTTTTTTTTTCATATCCCACATATTACTCTGCTCGGTATGCTAGCAAGTAAGTCCTTTCATCCACTCTCTTGGCCTACTATGCTACAGCAAAGCTATTTAGCGTACCCATTTGCCTTGACCCAGCCAGCCACATCCTCCTTGTCGCGAGACAGCCACGAAATCTTGGACCGGATCGCGTCTATGCTCTGGGCGAGCGACTGGTCGTATCCATTGTTGTTCTTGGCCCCAAAGAACTTCTCCACGCGCTCAAGCTGCTTCTGCGTCGTGAACCCAGACGTCATGATGTTGACCATGGAGCCGAGCATGGGCAGGGTAGGCGGCAGCTTCTCGTAGAGCGCCGCCCAGTTCTCCTCCATCCAGTTGTACAGCGCCTCGATTCCCTCTGCGTGGGCGCGCAGCCCAATGACGGGCATGTACACGTCTTGCGTCTTGACCTCGGGGCTGAAGAGGAGGTCCAGCGTGCGCTTGATGAGCTCCGGCTGCTTGGCGCGCCCAAAGCTGCGCAGACACGTGTTGCGCTCATCCGAGTTGGTCGATGATCGGTAAAAGTTGAGAATCTTGTCGTACTGTTTCCATCAGTCAAGTCAGTAACATGTAAAGTAAGTGCACATCGTGGCATCGGGAGACGAGAGTAAAAAAAAAAGCCCTTACCTCTTCAACCCCGCCGTATCGCAAGGCAATGGCAAACACGCTCTTGCGGATGTTGGGGTGGATGGCCGACTTGTCACCAGCCATAAACTTGTTGAACATGTCCTTGGAGGCGTCGATAATCTTCTGGTCACCGCTGAGACCGGCGGCCTCGAAAAGCACCGCCTTGAACTGCTGCTCAATGTGGCCGTCCTTGTCGGAGAATTGCCAGCCCAGCTTGTGCGCCTTGGGGCTGATCAGGTCGCGCTGGAACGCCTTCAGGCCCTCGGTGACCTCTTCAGCCTCAAACACCCAGGCGCTCTGGATTGCTCCGAGGCGGGCCACGATCTCGTTCCAGACAACAAACTCGTTTTCAGAGTCGAAGCCTTTCAGTAGGTTGAGCACACCAGACGTCTTCTGGTACCCGGAAGTGGCAAGAGCACCGGCGTCGGCAATCATACCAGCGCGGTCCTCGACGGAGAGGAGGCCATCCTTGGCAGCCTGGCCGAGCTTCTCCAGACGAGCAGGCGAGTACGAGGTTCGGAAAATCCCCGTGTGGTTGGCGTTGAGCTTGAAAAAGTCTTTGCTGGGGATCTTGAAGTCCTTCTCGCGCTCAGTGAGGGCAATTTCGCCATCGACGCCGTCCTTGGTGCGAAGACCCAGGAAGACAGGGTACAAAATCTTGTCCTCCTCGGGCTTGGTGTCACCAGTTCGCAAGAATCGGTTCTGCTTGACGTGAATGGAGCTGTCGGCGCCGTTCTCAGTAACAGTCAAGACGGGATACCCGACCTCCTTGGTCCATGCGTTCATGATTTCTTGAATATTCTTGCCACTGACTTCGCTGAGGGAAGCCCACAGGTCGCCCGTTTGCGTGTTGCCGTAGGCGTGCTTCTTCAGGTACCGACGAACTCCCTCGAGGAAGGTCTCCTCGCCAAGGTAGGTAGACACCATGCGAAGAACGCAGGAGCCTTTGGAGTAAGAGATGGCGTCGAAAATCTGGTTAATCTCATCGGCGCGCTTGACGGGCACCTCAATCGGATGGGAGCTACGGAGGGAGTCGAGAGACAGAGCGGACTGCAGATTGTCCGTGACATAGTTCTCCCAAACCTTCCACTCCGGGTAGAAGACATTGGATGAGTACTAAAGCATGTTAGCAAAAATGATTGGTCAATTCAGCGGCAGGGGCTGTGTGAGAATTGAACCACGAGTCTCGGTACATACCCATGAAGTCCACGTGGCGAAGCCCTCGTTCAGCCAGAGACCCTCCCACCAGTCCATGGTGACGAGGTTGCCAAACCACTGATGAGCCAGCTCGTGCTGAACAACCTCGGCGACACGCTCCTTGGTGGCAGCACTGCTGGTCTTCTCGTCGAGAAGCAGGTCGACCACACGGTAGGTGACGAGGCCCCAGTTCTCCATGGCGCCCTGGGCAAAGTCGGGAATGGCCACCTGGTCCATCTTGGGGAGGGGGAACTCGATGCCAAAAACCTTTTCGTAGAATTCCAGGGTTCGAACGGCAAGATCCAGAGAGAATCGGCCATGCTCAATGTCCTGGCCTGGCGGGGCATAGACACGGACAGGGACACGGAACTTTGTGGACTCGACATAGTTGAGCTCGCCAACAATAAAGGCGACAAGGTAGGTAGACATGAGGGGAGAGGTGTTGAAGTGAACAGCCTTTTTGGTGGTGCCGCTCATGGTGGACTGGACTTGTTCCTCCTTGGCAACATCCATGTTGCTCAAGCAAGTCAAGTTCTTGTCAGCTATGAGGGTGACGGTGAACTTGGCCTTGAGAGCGGGCTCATCGAAGCAGGGGAAAGCCCTGCGGCAGTCGGTAGCCTCCATCTGGGTGCAAGCCAGGATGCCTTCAGATCCGTCGTCACGCTTGTAAGTGGACCGGTAGAAGCCAGCCATCTTGTCGTTGAGCTGACCGGTGAATTTGATCTCGAGCTGAGCCTGGGAGCCCTTGCGAAGGACATGGCCGTCAAAGTCGAACTTGGTGACCTGGGTGGGCTCATGGAAGGAAACCTTGGGGGCTTGGTCGACAGTCTGTCCGTCGGCGGACAGCTTGGAGCTGTGGACGTCGAGCTCGAGCGTGTTGAGGGAGACGGAGCTGGATTCTTGGGCAACATCGAGGTCAATGACGACGGTACCGTCAAAGGTCAGCTTGTCGAAGTCGGGCTCGAGAGTAACGTGGTAATGGCGGGGGATGACGTTGGAAGGGAGCAGCTCGCGGCCGTGGGTACTACCAGGAGCGGCACCGCCGCCGGTCTGGTCGACACCAGCTTGGGCTCTGCACATGTTGTCGAGGTGTCTTCGGTAGGAGCAATGGCGAAGTTGACGGTGACGCCAGCAGTTGGGTCCGAGAGAATGTCGAATTCGAGAGGAGACGAGAGATGGACGGGGGCGGGCGACTGTGGATGCCAATCTCTTATGAAGACGAAGCCTGAGGGAAGAAATGTAGGTGTCAGCGGATTCTTTGATAGCTCCAAGTGCTCAAGCCAAAGGTGGAAGGTGGAAGCTATTGTCATGGTGTAAGTGGAAGCGAGCCGAAGTCAAGGTGGAGCGGGGACGGGTGGTGGCTTGCGGGTTCGGCTGAGAGAGGGGGTCATGCTGTCACAACATGGGACAAGATGAGGTGCAGTACCAGGACAAGCTCCAATACTAGAGGAATGAGGGGTTCTGAAACCTCTGGTCGTCGTGCGTGAGTGGTGCAGTTTGTACGGCAGACTTTTCCGCGGTGTGGTAAATGTTTGGATGTTTGGAGGTTTGGACTTTGGAGGGGTCAAAACGAGGGGAACTTGAGCCAAACGCGGAAAGCCGCATCAAAGTGCGGAGTCAGCTCAAGCTTCATCAATGTTGGCGATTGGCCGCAGCTTCGAGGCAAAAGGGCTGATTTCATGTTGCCGATTTTGCCCACCCGGCCATTTGATGGCATACATCAACAATCCATAAGGCCCGCACTAGCAGGATTTGGGCTGAACTCGACAAAGCATGGCAATTTCAACAACAATACCACACCAACCAGCC